ATACCATAAAATACCATATTTTTCGCTCCATAAGACGCACTTTTTTCACCCCCAAAAAAGGGGGGAAAATGACAGTGCGTCTTATGGAGCGAATATAAAGCAGCCGGTCCGGTATTTCTGCGGCGGAAATACCGGACCGGCCGCTCAGCTGTTCTCAGATCCAGGACCTTACCTGTTCCTCGGTCCAGCGCTGCGCAGTCTTCCCGCGCCGGCATCTGTGACAGCCGGGTGCCCACTGCGCATGTGCGAGAAGCGCTGCGTTTTGTGAATGGTTCGGCGTCTTGTGGGACACATGACAGGTCCCAGAAGACGCCGGGCCATTCACAAAGTGCAATGCTTCTCGTGCATGCGCAGTGGGCACCCAGCTGTCACAGCCAGGTGCCCACAGTAAAGGGAGGACAACTTCGCAGAAGTGGGAGCGGCTACCTGTCAAATTCAGGTACCTGCTCCCCCTCCCTCCCTATAGGTCCGCAGTCTCTGGTCATCCCCTATACTGTCGGCAGTCTCTGGTCATCTCCTTTACTGTCTGCAGTCTCTGGTAATCTCCTGTACTGCGTCCGCAGTCTCTGGTCATCCCCTGTACTGCGTCCGAAGTCTCTAGTCATCCCTTGTACTGTGTCCGCAGGCTCTGGTCATCCCCTGTACTGTGTCCGCAGGCTCTGGTCATCCCCTGTACTGTGTCCGCAGGCTCTGGTCATCCCCTGTACTGTGTCCGCAGGCTCTGGTCATCCCCTGTACTGTGTCCGCAGGCTCTGGTCATCCCCTGTACTGTGTCCGCAGGCTCTGGTCATCCCCTGTACTGTGTCCGCAGGCTCTGGTCATCCCCTGTACTGTGTCCGCAGGCTCTGGTCATCCCCTGTACTACGTCCGCAGTCTCTGGTAATCTCCTGTACTACGTCTGCAGTCTCTGGTCATCTCCTGTACTACGTCTGCAGTCTCTGGTCATCTCCTGTACCATGTCCGCAGTCTCTGGTCATTTCCTGTACTATATCTGCAGTCTCTGGTCATCTCCTGTACTACGTCTGCAGTCTCTGGTCATCTCCTGTACCATGTCCGCAGTCTCTGGTCATTTCCTGTTCTATGTCTGCAGTCCATTGATTCAGAATATTTTTTTTTCTTGTTTTTCTCCTCTAAAAACCTAGGCGTGCCTTATGGTCAGGTGTGTCTTTTGGAGCGAAAAATACGGTATGTGCTAAATTACAATGTATAGTTTCCCTTTAGAGCAACGTAAACTTTTTATATAAGCTAAATACATTCTAGGAGTATGAAAAAAATGTGTTTTGAGTCTTACAGTTCCTGTTCTTTAGAAAGCAGCCACAATCTGAGTAGAAAAGCCTTTCCTCACCAAGCAGCAGAGAAGGACCCTTTCTTTCTGTGTGGAAGCAGTGGTCTCTGCTGATGTTCAACACACAACCCTCAGTCAGAGCTAGAGATCTCTAATTCAGAGGGTGTGTAATCTTTTTGATTGCAGAGGTATAGGTATGTGTTGCCAATCCTGCAGAGAGATCACTGCTTCCACACTGAAAGCAAGGTAATTCTTGGTGACATGCTTGCAGCGGGAGCGGCCCTATCTACTCTGGCTATGTCTGCATTCTAAAGCAAACCCAACGTTAAAACTTTGAACACCTTTGGTTTTGATGCAACTTATTGTATTTAGTTTCTTTCCTTGGAACCGTGGGGAATCTAATAAGCAATCCTCTAAAAAAATATTTTTGAGTTCACTCCCCTCTGCCACATCATGAGGTTCGGAAAAACAGCTTGCAGAGAACAAAACCTAGAGTGTTTCTACTGCATACACGATTATCAGATGAAACAAAAACAAAAGAAACATGTAAAAATTACACAGAACATTCAGCGCTCCTCTGTACTGTGTAACAATTAGTCCATGGATAAACACACTAAGAGTCTGTCATATAGCAGCATTACTGCAATAGTAGATGAACCGTAGAGGAGTGAATTAAGCGATGGATGGATGGATTATGAAGGGTGGATGGATGAAATGTGGTTCACCTCTGCAGCTCCCGTGAGATCTGGGCAGGATCACCTCATAAAACAGGAAATAGCAAAAAGCAGGGTGCTGAGGTTAATACCAAATGAAAAAACATCTTTATTAAAAGCAGAACTCACAGTGCAGCTGGAGATGCCACCAGCTCTTTTTATCAACACCAACTGCTGGCCCATTGGAGCCCCTGCTACTGCATGTTTGGTGGCCATTTATTGCCTCTGTGTAACTTCAACAGATCGGATCTGGTGTTTCAACCTGCTGTGTCATTATCCACTGGTGGACTGGTGAATTATATGGAAGTGTGCTGCTTTTAATAAAGGTTTTTTTTTTTTTTGCTTGGTATTAACCTCAGTGCTCTGCTTTTTGCCATTTCCTACGATCATTAGATGTGTGGGCTTAACTTTAGTCTAATGATCTTATGTTTCAATTTCACTATTTTTTTTTACAGTTTTCCTTTAAGCTAGGGTAAGAAATTCTTTGAAAGGTATATAAGTCATACTTAGTGCAGTTTTTGTTAATATACATTTCCTCGAACATGCTCACATAAAATGCCAACACAATTTCAGGAAGAGCACATCCTTCACTGCTTAAAAAAAAGTAGTAACTGGCACTATAAACAAAGAATTTACATAATCCTGTAAAAGCAGGCAATAAAATGTGCATGTAAATACTCTTAAGAGTAGACTCTTAGCAAAATGTTTTCTGTGTGTGATCAGGGAACAAAGATCAGACACACTCTGTGCTCACAATATAATGATGGTATCTCAGCTGCCAAGAGGAAGATACCTGCATTATGGGAGGCTGTGCCAAACTATTTTAGAAGGCACAAACCCCCCACCCAAAAAACCTGTCTACCCGTTCCTTCACAGTTACACAGAAAAATGGTTTTGACTTGTCGCAGACATCTGCGTACATAGAAGAAAAAAGTTTTTAGTTTCCATTCTTAAAGCTTTACAATAAGAATAAGTACTTCTGACCATGTGACTAGTTTTTTCACTTGAGTTTAATGACATTTAAAATAAACAGAATTTATCCTGGTGTGTAAGATTTGTATGATCATCCTCTTATGTACTGAAAACTAACCAAAAATGTTTGTGTAGTTTTTAAAAGCAAATCTCTAAATATAACTTTTAATCAAATTTGGTTTTGCTTTAGCACGTGCGTTGGAAAAATGGTAACCTTTTTGCAAACATGAGGACCCCCTGACTGTCATCACCTAGTAAGTATGGCACAAACATTCATGCACTAAGTGCACACAATTAAGTCACACTGAACATATTAGTCTCAGGTCAGGGACTCACTAGATCAATTCTGATCCCAGGGGTTAATAGATCTATCCAACTAATTGATAAAATAGATAGGAGTCAATTAGTATTTTGAGGTGTCTCTGTAGAGCTACATGCCAGTCCCTAGTCCTAGAGGTGAAGTGGCTATCAGAGAGACAGTGTTACCCAGGTTTGGATGGTCAGTCACCAGAAGAGCATTGGGGAGGAGTTTGCTGACACAGGCCGGAGTGAGAAAGGTAACTACTCGGTCTTCTTTTACAGGTATGACTTTGTCAAGTATCCTCTGTTTAGTAACAACGTTAACATTAAAAATAACAAAAAAAAAATCTTGCAAACAGAGTAAACCCTTTCCTTTACCCAGTGAAGTGACTGGCCTCAGGTGATACAGAGAGATGAAACAAATCCTCCTACATATGTTGTACCTGCTCATCTGCAGTTCTCTTCTCTACAGCTGTTCAAAGTTCTACATTTATACAGCTTGAATGAGAAGTCAGAAAAAAGGGGCAAGAGGTGAAAAGCTCACTGAGGAGAGCTCCAAAAGCTGTTTGGAGGGAAGGGACACCCACCCCACCCCCCTCCACACAGCTTACAGGAACAGAGCTGAGGATGTCAAATCTGCTGGAGGACCCTCCCGTCACCATTTTTTCCTTGGTGTCAGGAAAAATTGTCAGAAGTGATTCATGCAAATAGCAAAGGAAAGAAGTAGCAGACAGAAATGACACTTAATGCTCTTAACTGAGACAAGTAGAAAACAGAGGGATATGCATTGCTTCTATATCAGAGGTTCACAACCACTTTAATGTACTTTGGAAAGTAATATGTTACAAGGATGACAGGCAGATAAAATTACCTTTCTCTTTGCATGGTCCTTGCCAGGATTATGCGAATGTGTTTTTCTCGGGTTTCTCCTTGTTCTTACTGTGAGAATCATGACTGCTAATATTTTTACTCTTTGACTCATTTTTTTTCACTGCTGATCCTGGGATCCTAGACAGCAATGACAGCTCAATTTTGACAACAAGAGCAAGAGGTTTATGACTGTTCTTGATAGGTGGCAGTAGTCTGTTGTTCTCCCCTATTGGTAATAACACTTTGTCCCTGTGAAAGTCCTCACGTACAACAACTGCAGGATGAGTTAGGTTAGTCCTATGATTGGCTTTGCTTTGACGCATTCCTTTTGAACCAGAGGAGCGCTGCGGGAGTGATGAGGCACTCTGGTTTTTGTCTGTCTGAGTGCTTGGACACTTTTTGGTGCTGCTACTATGTTGAGAGCTTCTGTGCTTTTTATTTTCACTACTATGTGCAACAATTGTGTTTGGTTCCTTATGGTCATTTGGTTTTGTTTTAACTTTCGTTTTCACAGTTGGCCTTTCCTTGGAAGGCTGGTCTCTTGGCCTGTATGGTTGTGGCTCACTTTCAACAGTAAGTCCTCCCTTTGGCTCGTTTTGAAATGAGGCCTTGACAGGTCTCTTTGGCTGTTTAATTCCAACAGTCTGCCTAGGAGTTACAGTTTCATTGACTATAGGGGAGTCTGGAAAACTAGGTTTGTTCTGGATATCTTCCTGAGAAGTCCAATTAACCTTTTCATGGTGAGAGTCAACAGTCTTTGGAGAGTCGTGAAGAGGGGATGAAAGACTGTCTTGTTCTTTACTCTCCCAGTGACTTTCTTGTTCATGATCCACAGTACTATTGAGGTTTTCAGCAAGTGCTGCAGGTTTGACCATGAAATTCCCCAACTGCCAGTCAGATGGCTGGGTGTCATGCTGTAACAGAATAGATGACAAAAAATAATTATCAGCTTTCTTTACTATGTTTATGTATAAAGATTGTTAAAAAGAACACAGTGAAATCCATAAAAAGAAAATCACAGCATTGACACATGGAATTGCCTGACATAACTCAGTCAGTCTCTGTCTATATATTTTTTTTCAGCAGGAACGAGGGGGAACGCAGTTCTGGCACCTTCAGCACTGAATGTATATAATTGGCAAGGGGTGTGGAGTGTGCTGGAGGGTCTTATTGATGCTGGCTGCTGGGGGATCTATTTTTGTGTGAGGCACTATTGTTGCTGGGGGTGGTATTTTGATGTGGTTGGTCTATTGTTGCTGTGTGGGGGTCTATTGTTGTGTGAGGGATCTAATGTTGCTGAAGGGACCTATTGTTGCTGGGGTGGGGTCCATTGTTGCTGGGGGACTCTATTGTTGTGTGGGGTATCAACTGTTGCTGGGTTGGGGTCTATTGTTGCTGGGGAGGGATCTACTGTTGCTGGCTGCAGGTAATCTATTTTACTGCTTTTCCCGTTATCATATATATATATAACTAATTCCATACAAAATATTTAGTACCACAAAATGATACTTGGTTCAAGGGGGGGGGGGGGGCTCAGAAAGGGGGAGTTACTGCACCTCTGTTCTGAGAAAAAAAAAAGCCCTGTATATAAAAAAATATACAGTTAGATCTATATATATTTGGACAAAGGCACAATTTTAGTTTTTTTCAGGTATATACCAAAACATATTCAAGCTATAGTTATATAATCAATATGGGCTGAAAGTGCACTCTCAGGTTTAATTTGAGGGTATGTACATCCAAATTGAAAGGAAGGGTTTAGGAATTACAGCTCTTAAGAGTGACCATCTCAACTTTTTCAAGGGACCAAAAGTAATTGGACAATTGAATATAATAATAAATAAAATGTTAATTTTTAATATTTTGTTGAGAATCCTTTACTGGCAATGACTGCCTGAAGTCTGGAACCCATGGACATTACCAAAGATGGTTTCCTCCTTTCTGATGCTTTGCCAGGTTATGACTGCAGCTGTCTTCTTTGTTTGTGGGTCTTTCTGCCTTTAGTTTTGCCTTCAGCAAGTGAAATGCATTCTCAATTGTGTTGAGATCGGGTGATTGACTCGGCCATTGCAGAATATTCCACTTCTTTTCCTACATAAGCTCCTAGGTTGCCAGTGCCACTGGAAGCCATGCATGCCCATGCCATCACACTGCCTCCACCATGTTTTATAGATGACGTTGTGTGCTTTGGATCATGAGCTGTTCCAAGCCTTCTCCACACTTTTTTCTTCCCGTCTTTCTGGTACAGATTAATCTTAGTTTCATTCCAAAGAATGCTTTTCCAGAACTGGTCTGGCTTTTTTTAAAGTTTTTTTTGGCAAACTCTACTCTGGCTTTTCTATTCTTCAGGCATGAGAACGGTTTGCACCGTGTGGTGAACCATCTGTATTTGCTCTCGTGAAGTCTTCTCTTGATTGTAGACTGACAATGATACGCCCACACCTGGCCATGAAACAGCTTTTGATTCAATTGTCCAATCACTTTTGGTCCCTTGAAAAAGGGGGAATGGCTACTCTTAAGAGCTGTAATTCCTAACCCCTTCTTCCAATTTGGATATACACACCCTTAAATTAAACCTGAGAGTGTGCACTTTCAGCCCATATCCATTATATAACTATAGCTTGAATATGTTTTGGTAAATAGCTGAAAAAACTACAACTGTGCCTGTGTCCAAATATTTATGGACCTGTTCGTGTGTGTGTTCGTGTGAGTGTATGTGTGTATGTGCGTGTACATATACACACTTACAGGGTTTACAGATTTACTCCCTTGAATTCTGTGACACACTTATCTTACCCTGTGCAGATACACAGCTCTCACACATTTCACAGAGCCTGCCTTCTGAACTACAGAGGTGATGAGAGGGGGAGTTTCAGGAGGTGGAGTCAGTGCAGGAATCACTGCATGCAGGCAGCAAGATATCAAGGGATATATAATCCTTAAAAATTAAAAGTAAACAAGAGGAGATGCTGCAAAGCATGCAGTGAATTCATAAAATTGTGGGAAGAGATGGACAGCAGACAGCACTCAAAAAATCAAAGGGAGAGTTTTCAAGTAAGCTAGTATTGCATTGTCAAAAATAACTATTCTTTGTATTACAATTAAAATGCTGATGTTTTAAAATAGGGTGGCATTTGGAAACAAAAAAAAAAAAAAACTTTTTTTCATTTCATTTGTTTATCTACAATGAGGCTAACTACATTTTTGTTTCATACTGAATCACCTGTCACCATGTCAGATTTTCTTTATCATTCTACAGCTTAGGAAATATAATATTGAGCTCCAGCTTAGATTAAGCAAAAGAAGGCTGAACTAAATGAAGAGATCCAATAGCACATTACCGTATTCTCTTCACTATCACTTGAGCCACTTTCACTCTCTGTTTCTGTCGAGCTGTCAGTCTCACTCCCTTCAGTTTCCAGACTACCGGAATGTGCTGAGGCCACGCTGTCCACCTGTGATGGCACAACACTGCCAAAAAAACACAGAGAAACTGAGATTGGTGACTTAAAATCCCAATTTACATTTATGTATACATTTCTATAGTCTATAACAGCAGCTGTAGTCATGAGTCACTTTGTGGTTTGAAGTCTGTTGAACACTTAAAGTATACACACTTATATTAGGATGCAATATAATTCAGCTAGAGGTAGTTCTAAATGGTGTAGGAAACTTTGGGAAAAAGCAGATATCTGGCATTTTTTAAATACCAAATTTAAAAGTATTAACAATCATGTACAATAAGCACTTACAAATTATTACACATTTACAAAAATATTTAACATTTTGTTGTGTGTTTATTTTAGCAGCCAGTACATTTACAACAGGGGTACTGAATTAAAATTCATGGAGCTTCAATTGGCAGCATTTTCTTTCTGCAGAGGTCCAAACGTCATTTTTCTTCTATGACTCAGGTCCTTCACATCACAGCCCCCTTTAGATAAGTATCCTCAGTCCCCACTTTCCCATCACAGTCCACTAACATCACAGCCTCCTTTCACATCAGAGCCCCCCAACATTACAGCCCCACTTACATCACAGTCCCCTTTGCAATCACAACCCCCCCACATCACAGCCCCCTTCTTGCATCACAGCTCCTCCATATAACAGCTCCCCCATATCACATCACAGCTCCCTCTCTCATATCAAAGCCCACCCCCCATATCACAATTCCCCCTTCTCACATCACAGCCCGCCTATCTCACAGCTCCTGCTCTCACATCACAGCCCCCCCTACATTACAGCCCGCACATCTTACAGCTCCCTCTCTCATACTACAGCCCCCCCCCCACAGCTTTCTCTCTCACATCACAGCCCCCCCTCACAGCTCCCTCTCTCACATCACATTCCCCCCATATTATACCTCCCCCTTCTCACATCACAGACCCCATATCACACCTCCCCCTTCTCACATCACAGTCCCTCCATATCATATCACATCACAGCCTCTCCATAGCATAACTCCCATTCTCCTATTACAGTCCTCTCCATATCACATCACATCATAGCCCCTGTATCTCAGATCCCCCTCTTACATTACAGCCCCCCTCCATATCACAACACAGCTGCCCATCTCACATCACAGTCCCCCCACATCACAGTTCCCCCTCCCACAGCCTCCCCATATCACAGTCCCCAATTTTGAAGCTCTCCTTCACAGTAATACCTTGACTCAGGCAGGAGGAATGGCAGGGTGGACTCCTCTTCTGAAGGTACTCACCTGCCGCCGCTGAACTCACTGCAGGGAAGAGGGCGGAAGGCAGGTAAAGTCTGCACTGAGGGCAGGGTCTGCCCAACTCTGGTTAAAAAGTGAGTGACCTGCTTGTTTATCAGAAAGGTTGGGCAGCTCTCGCTCCCCCTGTAGACCTGCAGTAATTCCCACCCTTCTCCCTGCTGTGAGTTCAGTGGTGGCAGGCAAGTACATTAAGAAGAGGAGTCCACCCTGCCATTCCTCCCTCCCTCTACAATGCTGTCATTTTAACAGCTGCAGCGGCGGGAGGAGAGGAGTCCACTCAGGCTGCTAAGTGGTGCAGCTGCTGCCCAGACAGGACTGTAACTCAGTTTGTGTCCGGGCCCCTGACCACCACTTATTGACGCCTGATTTACAACTTTCACTCTAAATTAAGCATTTTGGTAAAACGATTTACTGATTTAAAATGATGCAAGCTCAAAAATAGCTTTTAGATTTCTTTTATTAACTTCCACGTTTTTAGCTTCATGTCTTAACAGCTCTGCAAAAAAAAACCTAAAATTTTTTCTTCCATTTACACTCAGATACTGCTTTTCTCTAGGCTAAAACATAAGGGGGATCTGAGCAGTTCTAGGAAGAGCAGATAGTACTGCTTTCAGAAACTTTCATAAATTTAAGCAAACTGCTGCAGAGATACTTTTTACATTATTCCTATGAACAGCAAGTTATGTCAATTGGCTGCACATTTTATTTTGTTCCAATATAATACCCCTGCATTCCCAAAATCTGGGGTGGAAATATGGTCTCCACTTTATTTTTTTGTGCTGACCACATCTCCTAGTGGGGCCATAACAATGATGGGTCATTAGTAATGCGAATGGAGCAGGGACCGAACCAGAAAGCAAGTATTCATGACAAGGTTACAAATAATCCCTACAGGAAAACTCATCAGACATACTAAAATATAAGTCTTATCTAAAATTAATCAATCACCACAAGGTTTGTTTCTCTAACTTTCATTAGCATGAAAATCCCTTTACTGGGTGCCAGTCTGTAATTCATCTTGACTTCCCTGAATTAAGGTTCTATTCGCACTCAGCCACCATCCTTTAGTTGAGCGATGGCAGTGGCACTGACCTCTTTGACACTCTCATAGCCAGTGGACAGGTTTAAAACTCAAAAGTCAAGCCACAAAGTAAAAACAGTATTGAAGGGATGCAATGAACAGTTTTTTTTGGCCAATATAAGGCACAGGAGGTACTTTACTCCCAAGCTAGGCTTTTTACACCTTAAAAATAGCTGACAGGTATCCCTTTAATGTCATGCACAGCACAAGACACCTGGGTAAAAGCTTTACACACTAAAATATACTTTGTTTGCTTACTTATCATTTACACAGCTGTTATGAGCAGAAAGTCCCAAGTGCAGTTGTTAGGAACTTTCACAACATGCAGTTCAATGCATATAAAATGCTTAACTCATTAAAGTGGTTGTAAAGGCTGAAGGGTTTTTTTTTTGCCTTCATGCATCTTATGCATGAAGGTAAAAAACCTTCTGTGTAATGCTCCCATAACAGCCACCCCTAATACTCACCTGAGCCCCCTCTCAATCCTCCTCCCCTCCTGTGCATCCCAGGTGCTTGAATGTGACATCTCCTGGGATGGACGAGAAAGGAGGGGCCAGAGGGGAACAGCACGCTACAACAGGACACACAGCAGCTTCCTGCAACAGCTTTGCATGAAAACAAAACCACCACTACTGTACAGTATACCATTATCTCTCTGTGCTGGCTGCTGCTGCCCTCCATGTTAGGTGCCCTGCTGCATCCCATTACTATGCCCTGCTGTGTCCCCCCCCCCCCCCCATTGCTATGTGCCCTGCTGCCCACTACATACTGTGTCTTGCTGCCCTCCCTCTCATGTAATTTGCCCTGCTGACCCCCCGTGCTCTGCCCTACTGCCATCCCCCTCATGTAATATGTGCCCTGCTGACCCCCTGTGCTCTGCCCTGCTGTCCCCTGCATGCTGCTAATCTTGCTCAATACAGAATTTAGCACCTGTGCAGAAAAAAGCAACAAACATTAAATAGGTATGTGGTAATATGTATTTAATTATTTAATTCTATGTCTAAAAATAATTTTTATATCAACAGCTCTCTGATCACACCATCTGTGAGCTGTAGATCTGAACATAATTTTAGGAGCTCCCCAAGATCTCAAACTGTTTGCCAAAGGTTTCACCAATGTAAAAAGGTTGAGAACCCCTGCCTTAACCCTTATAGAATAGGTTGAAAACATTGTCTTAAAAAATAACATTCTAAAACAAGCAAGGGACAGCAAAGAACAGTAAAGTCAGCTATGAGCAACCATCAAAACTATTAAGGCATGTCTGGATTACAGAACACAGTGTAGCAAACAAATAAATGAATAAAAGCAATACCTTGATGGAGCAGATGAAGAAAGTGGCTTCTCAGTAACCTGCAAAACAAATGTTTAATCAATGAAGTTTGTTTAATTAAACAAATATTCAACCCTGGAAGCAGCTTTAATTGACTTCATAAATAAGAAAAGTAACATACCTCCTCCTCCTCTTCATCACTGTCCTCACTATCGCTGAGCTTGGAGATCATCTTCCAACATGCTAAGGCCAAAAGAAGAGGTTTAAGGGTCACTCAGCACTAACTTTATATCACGACAGAAATATTTTATTTGTATGGTACAGATGGTAATCAAACCAATGGCAGTGCAAGCACCAAAACAGTACATGAAAAGATTTTGCATTTGAGTGAACGCTTGCAACAGATTAAAAGATTTTTACCTCCAATGTAATGTTTTTTTTTCCGCTACACTATAGTAATTACCTGAAATCATCTACTGTAGAAATAGCATATGCCAGGCACATTGATTTCACTGTATGCAACCACATTATTGATGAAGATTGATGGAGCATCTTTAGGTTTAGTAAATCTTTTAGCAAAAATTGTACTTGTCACGTTCAGCATGCAGTACTGTCACCAAACACATCCCATTCAAGTGAATAGGGTTTTGCTGTAACCACAAACTGTGTGCTTGAGTCATGGTTGAAGTGCAGTACTATTTACATATAAAATGCCCATTCAGCCGTCAAAAAAAAAAAAAAAAAAACATTTCCCCCTTCAACGTTTGCTAGTAGTTTCTGTACACCCACTAAAAAGCAATCCACCAAAGATTACTTTTTAGAGAGGTGGCAGAGTGCTGCCTGCGTAAACAAGGCCTTAGATCCTTAGATCTTGTGCCGAGAAGTTCCACTAATGCTGTTGCTGTTTGCGTGACGGCAAAACAGTTGTAAGTCATAAGGGAAAACATCTAATTACTAGAGGGGGTTTGTTACTCTGGAGGGTCAGTGTTTAGAAAGGGAAGACACTAGTGTATGTGCAGGTTGGTGGGTGATATCAGCACACTCAACATTTTGGATTCAGTTCTTTTAGTATTTTTTTTTGTGTATAATAGATTTAGAGCAAATTGACCTACTGTACATATCTTGTAGCTGAGATAAATGAATTGTAAAAAAAAAAAAAAATATTTGTAAATGTACTTGCAGGCATCACACAGCATCTACAATTTGGAGGTATTATTTTAATTGATATACTGTACCTCCAGGTGCATTCTAAAATAAACTAGTCATGTAAAACTAACCCCTGAAGTAAACCGTATCTACATTAGTTTTAACTAGTGCAGAATAAAACTCTTCATGCCCCTCTTGCCACATGGATCAGGCAGGGTGTCAAGAGTTCGTGTCAGTGGAGCTGAATACTTTCAGTTCTACTTCCTTGGAGCCAGCACAGTGTTTATTATGAAAAAAATAAATCTATAAATAAAAAAAAAAATAATCTAGGGGCTGCTGTGCTCCACCTTTGTGACACACTTGATTGAGGCAGGGCTAATTAATATACTTTGCAAATAGTATCATTACTTAAACATTTCTAGTACAAGACAATGGAAGCTGCATATAATTGTGCATACCCGGCAGAAATTGTGACATTTTGGCATTGATATTGAAAATATGACTGATGCCACAAAATGCTCTTTTATTAAAGGATGATGATCACATGAAGCCATTTATTATCACATAGTTGTTTGGTTCCTTTTTAAATCATAACAGAAATCACCCAAATGGCCATGATCAAAAGTTTACATACCCTGTAATGTTTGGCCTTGGTACAGACAGACAAGGTGACACACACGGGTTAAAATGCCAATTAGAGGTTAATGTTCCACATTTTTGGCTTTTTAAATTGCAATTAGTGTCCGTGTATAAATAGTCAATGAGTTTGTTAGCTCTTATGTGGAAGCACTGACTAGGCTAGATACTGAGCCATGGGGATCAGAAAAGAACTGTCAAAAGTCCTGCACAACAAGGTAATGGAGCTTTATAAAGATGGAATAGGACATAAAAACATGTTCAAGCCTTGAATATGCCAATCAGTACTGTAAAATCACCTATTAAGAAGTGGAAAGTTCGGGGATCTCTTGATACCAAGCCAAGGTCAGGTAGACCAAGAAAGATTGCAGCCATAACTGACAGAAGAATTGTCTGGGATTCAAAGAATAACCCACAGGTAACCACAAGAAAAATACAATCTGCTCTGTAAAAAGACAGTGTAGTTGTTTTGAAGGAGCACAATATGATGACATTTGCACAAATATGAGCTGCATGGTCAAGGTGCCAGAAAGAAGCCTTTACTGCATCAATGACACAAAAAGGCCTGGTTAGGCATGTCAAGGTGTTGTCAGGCATATTGTAACTGGGCTTTTTTTGTGGCATTGGTGCAGTAAAAGCTTCTTTCTGGCACCTCGACCAAACAGCTAATTTTTGTGCAAGTATCACTGTATTGTACTCCTTAAAAACAACCACACCATATTTTGCCAGAGCAGCCTGTTTTTCTTTTGAGGTTACCTGTGGGTTTTTCTTTGAATCCCAAGACAATTTTTCTGTCAGTTATGACTGCAATCTTTCTTGGTCTACCTGACCTTGGCATCAAGAGATCCCCGAACTTTCCACTTCTTAAAGGGTGATTTAAAAGTACTGATTGGCATATTCGAAGGCTATGGACATCTTTTTATGTCCTTTTCCATCTTCATAAAGTTCCATTACCTTGTTACACAGGACATTTGACAGCTCTTTTCTGATTCCCATGGCTCAGTACCCAGCCTTGTCAGTGCTTCCATGTAAGAGCTAACAAACTCATTGACTATTTATACACTGACACTAAATGCAATTTAAATAGCCACAGATGAGGAACATTACCCTCTAATTGGCATTTTAACCCGTGTGTGTCACCTTGTGTGTCTGTACCAAGGCCAAACATTCCAGGGTATGTAAACTTTTGATCATGGCCATTTGGGTGATTTCTGTTATCATTATGATTTAAAAAAGAGCCAAACAACTATTTGATAATAAATGGCTTCATATGATCATTATCCTTCAATAAAAGAGCATTTTTTGGCATGATCAGTCATATTTTCAATATCAATGCCAAAATTTCACAATTTCTGCCAGGGTATGCAAACTTTTGAGCACAACTGTATGTACAGAAGTTAACTTAATTCCATGGGGTACATAAACTGCCTGCGGTTAAAGAAAAACCAATTGGGATAATAACCCCCCAAAAATCTGACACTCAGATTTTAAAACAGGCACCTACAAGTAACGCATCAGAGCACCACAGCCTGGAGGGCTCTATTGTACAAACACAAACTTAACCAATTTTTAGGAATCATTTAGAAATGTTAAAGGTCTATCATTTTTTTTGTAGCTGTTGTCTCCTGTAATACATGTAGTACTAGTATCCCATGTTGCTAAATGCTTCCTAAGTCTATTTATGAGGTCCAACCTGCCACGCTCTGCTGGGGCAGATTTGACTACAGCTAGGAAGGATACGGCTGCTTCAGAATGGCACCTTGTCGCAGCTCTGAGCACTTTCCACAGATAAGCATGTGGGCAGCACAGTGGCTAAATGGTTAGCACTTCTGCCCGGCAGCACTACGGTCATTGGTTCAAATCTCGGCCATGGCACCACCTGCCTGGAGTTTGCATGTTGTCCCTGTGCCTGCGTGGGTTTCCTCCGGGTGCTCCAGTTTTCTCCCACACTCCAAAGACATGCTGTTAGGTTATTTAGACCCTGTCTAAATTGGCCCTAGTATGTGTATGTATGAATGTAAGTTAGGGACTTAAAATTGTACACCCCTTGAGGGTTAGGGATTGAGGTGAATGTACATTATATATATATATATGTAAAGCGCTGCATAAATTGACAGAGCTATATAAGTACCTGAAATAAATAAGAATCAATAAAACAGGCAACAGCAAGAGGGATGCAGAGGGAGGAGGGCTTCTGTATTCCCCTTGCCTAGACTTTAATGAAGAATATATATACTCTTAACTGCATCTCAGCTGTAAACGAAGAAAAATACTTTTGTTTTAAATTCCTCCTGAAAACAGCAGTGCACTCCCTGCTGGGTCTGAGAGTATGCCTAGGCACCCCTGTGCATACAGCTTTTTGGTTGTATATATCTGCAGGACAAGATCTAAGTCACTGCTCCTCTAAGTGCTAGTCTTTGTAGTGAGATTTGGCAATGTCAGTACTGTACTACTCACTGTTTTTCTTGCGGGAAACTGACATAAAGGGATTTATTTACTAACGCTGCAGAGAACAAAATCAGGCTAACTTTTGCATAGAAACCAATCACAGCTTCTAACCTAACATTTGGCAATAAAACCTGGAAGCTGATTTCTATGCAGATGTGAGTCTGATTTTGCACTCTCCAACTTTAATAAAATAACCATAAAGAGGCAAAATCCATCCACCAACAAAAGCCATAGTAAGTCAGTGGTGGGGGAAAAAAAAATCAGCTGCAGGAAGACTACAGACAAACACTAGAAGCTATGCCAAAAGATGGCAAATGGAGGGCAAATCACCAGAGTTCAGTCCCTCTTTCAGCTAGAAAGTCAATGTTTTGGTCCACCTTTCTCCATGCTGCACTACTAGTCACCTAGTGTGAAGACTGCTTCAACAAGTAACTTCAAGGCACAGTAGGATAGTAAGGAGAAAGCCAATTTCCTAGTTAAAATCTGTCATTACATGATGCGGGTCCATCCCTGACTGCATTGCACATTTTTGATAACTTCGGAACCTTTTTGGGTGTTAGAATTAATTGGTCCAAATTCTTCCTCTTTCCCATTGATGAGAGGGCAATTGCCTAAGGATCTGCACCATTATTTCGATCATAATCGTCTTCCGCTGCTGGCCTCTCTTAAGTCGCGTTGTTCTGCTTGGGATACCCTCCCTTTAAACCTCCTCGGTTGTATTAATCTCATTAAATGATGCTCCTACACAAGTTTACCTACATTTTTCAGAACTGTCCTGTCTGGGTCCCTGTTTCATTCTTTCGTGAGATTGATTCCTGTGTGGGCTCTTTCATATGGAAAGGTGCAATGCCCAGAATAGCTAAATCGACCCTTAGGCTTCCTTCTTAGTTGGGGGGGCTGGCTCTACCTCATTTTCACAAATACTACTGGGCGGCAATGCTGGTGTCTATATATTGGTGGTTCACGAGCCCTAGGTCTAATGCTGCAGTATGTTTGGAGGCTTATTGCGGATCTCCGAATTTGGTACATAGGGGTCACGGGGCCTATGACAAGGTTCTGGTTCTGACGCATGCCACCTGGAGGGTTGCCCGTCGTAGTTTTAGGTCAAAATCAGTGGTCCCCTGCACAACATCTGTGGGGAAATCCCTGTCTCGGACCCCCAGGTTTGGGCACGCAGAGGCATTAAAACACTGGAGGATATTATGCCCTCTGGGACGCTTTTGTCATTTATGCAACTTTCCGGTAAGTGCCACCTGCCAACCTGGATGCAATTCCGCTACTGACAACTGTGCCATGCCGTTAGGGCTCAGTTTCCTCAGCTGCCCCTCCTTAAGGCTGATCCAATCGAATAGTGATATAGACAAGGCTCTTTCTACACTGTATGGAGCCCTTCTTACTGACCCCCCTAAGCTTGAGTGGGTGTGGGAGAAGTGGAGGTTTGATATGCCTTCCCTGGATAAAAAGAGCTGGGCAGAATGTTTGAAGGGTGGGCCTAAACTTGTAATTTCTCCTAAGGATAAGTTGATCCAAGCTAAGTTTCTTCACAGGGTATACTATACTCCTGTGAGGCTTCATAAAATATATCCAACACGCGACCCTACGTGTCTTCGCTGTCGAGTCCATTTGGGCTCCCTATCTTCATACTGTATGTTTTGCGATTGTCGTAGACTAGCAAGTTTCTGGAAGGATGTTTTTGATTTAATAAATCTCAGGTTGCAACTGTCCCTTCCCATTTCCCCAGAGTTAGCCCTTCTGGGGATTCAGGATGTTGATCAACGTTCTCAACGTACCAAATTGCCGATTTCTTTTTTACTTTGTTATGCCAAGAAAGCAATCCTCCTTCAGCGTTTCCTCCCCTACTCCTCCTACGGTGTCTTCCAGGGAGGAGATGGTAGATGCGGTCCTGCCCATGTACAAACTTACATATCTAAATAGAGGCTGCCCTTGGAAATATGATAAAGTGTGGTCCCCTTGGGCAACTTCAAAATAGTGTTCTCTTCTCTGCCCCCTTTTCTTTTTCTTCTCCCCTATTCTCCCCCTTGGTTTCTTCCCTGGTCCTACTCTATTCTTCCTACTGCCTTCTATCTTTTCTTTTGGACAACTATCCCCCTATAAAAGACTCCGGTGCCTTCCCATGGTTTAACTCAGGGACCCCTTGATTGAGTGGTAACTTCATGCACTGAATTTGGTCAATATGTATGCATTGTATTTTGTACATGAGTTTACTTGCTCTGTAATATACTTGTCTAAAGCACTGCTGATATGTAAAAAAAAATTGTGATTACATAATCACTCCTAGCTAAAACTGGTGATTGCATAGTCAAGGGTCATGGGTCCCTCTAGAAAATATGTGCAGGCACTTATAATCTAATTAGGATTAATGTTACAAAGAAAAGCAGTATATTTCTACAATTCCCACATGACAACATGCAAAATCTGAACATCCCACAGTGCTTAGTGATAACTTTGAGAGCCTGTAAAAGCACAATGGAGACAATAGGATAGTCATTTCCCAAGGTCAGTTCTATAAATATATTTTAATGCAACAGATTTAATTGTCACCCTTATCAGTGTTGTGCTCACATGGCATTATTGGTGTACCATAAAATTCCAATCATATTTAGCTATGTTTACGCAGAAGAGTAGTACAGACCATGTGGAATTTGTTACACATTTTCTCATCTTCTCATGAACTACATGTATTCAGATACATACATCTTACAACAGTCATTACATTCATCTTTTTAGGGCTCCAACTTAAATTTGCATGTATGTATATCATGATCATTGTATACAACATAGGTCCTCAACCTGTGGCCTTCCAGTTGTTGAGGAACTACAAATTCCATGAGACATTGCAAGGCTGACAGTTACAAGCATGACTCCTAAAGGCAGAGGCATGATGGGACTTATAGTTCCGCAACAGCTAGAGGGCCACAGGGTGAGCATCCATGGTATACATAATATCTGTGGATCCCAGCTAGTAATCTAGAAGCTTCAAAGCTGGCCATAGACTGTTACATTTTTTTCATTCAGCCTACAGATTCCTCAATCCATGCTAACACTACAATGGATGGATCCCCCTGCCAACCTATTGTATTCTGATAGCTGCTGCTGGCAGGAGAGGACCAACATAGCCATCCTTATAATGTATTTCAGCCCATTCATCAGGAATCAACCAAAATACATAAAGTGTATGGTCAGCTTAAGGCCCATTCACATATCTGCATTGTTGTAATGTGTGTTTAAACAAATGTAAGGCTTCACATGCTACCAGGGCCATCATCCTATGCTTCATTAGGAATAAACTCCTAGCATTCTCTGATGGTTTTGTGAAAATGCATCTAATATCATTATGCGTATCTACTTACGATGATGCCGTTTGTGGGCTTGCCAACACTTTTGAGGACGTGTCATGTTGTTCTATAAATACAATAAAATAAAAAATATACAAAAAGTGTCAATCAGCAGCGTAACCCTTACAATGTGACCTTTTTACACATGTGATAAATGCAAAAAATACAAACGAATAATAATCCTCATAGTCAAACAGTGAGTACAAATAATCAAAAGACCCCGAGTTGCTGCTATACACTGTCTGGCGTTTCCACTCTGCCCTTTATATAATTCTGTATATAGTATATAATGATATAAGGCAACTTATAAAAAAAACAATTCAAATAAAAAAAAGAGAGAAAAACTATAAACACGTGATAAAACAAAGTCCTTAAAAGTGGTGTTTCCAAACCACCAGTGTTTTCTAATCTAATAGGGCCCTATGAGGAAGTCCAAATGGATTAAATGCATTACCGTATCTAGGACCAGGAGTGAATCAAGCATGCTAACCTGGAAGTTACATTGAGGTAGCAATCTGTACCGTGAGGTGGCGACACTCTGGTAATGCAGCTCATGCAGGTAAACCGGGCATACTGATGGCTGGTTTTATTATTGAAAGTGTTATTTTATAATGTGTTTTTGAGTATTTTATATGGTTTTAATAAAATTTGAAGGTGTAGAGATACTGCACTATTGAGAAGAATCGACCACCTTGGATTCCTTTAGTGTTTCAAATGTATTATATCATGACCTCCAGATACGACGACCTGATGGAAGGAGAAAGGAAGGGAAACAAAAAATGGCAAAAAATTTAAGATTTACAATAGAAGACAGGAAGGTGGATCCAGAGGGCCGGTTTTTGTTCATAAAGGGGAAACTGCATGACATGGATTGTACACTTGGAAATATATAGTGCCCACATAAGAATCCAATTTAAATTTTTGTATGAAATCCCAGCTTGATACATGATCGCGTGTACAGAGGGATAGAGGTAAAGGTCTAAGATCTATTAAAAAAAACTGTCAATTAGTGAATGCATGGTTTCAAGAATACAGAAATTAGAGACTATACATTTTATTCCCCTGTACATGCGACATATTGTAGGTTGGATTATATAATGATAGAACATAGACTATTGGAGTCGTTGATTAATGCCAATACTGAAGTTACATCATTATCAGACCAAGCTCCTGTAATGATGAGGTTGAAAGTGAATGGTGTGCAGAATAAAACAAACATACGCATGGAAATTAATTAAGACACTCATCCAAGATCAAGAGACAGAAGTGAGAATACGGGAGGAATTAGAACAATGTTTTTTAAGATATGAAACGGAGGGAGTCTCGGAGGCCACAGTATGGGAGGCACATAAGGCGTATATAAGAGGTATCTTGATTGCCAAAGGGGCGGAAAAAAAAAAGAAAAAGAGGTCAGAAAGGATAAAAAGGTTAATAGAGGAACTATATCCATTGGAGCAGTTACATACAAATACAATAGAAACTGAAGTACAACATAAGATTATTACAAAGAGAGAAGAACTAAGTAATTTATTGGAACAAGAAAGAAATAAGGTCTTTAATAGGGTGTTGAGAGAAAGATATCAATGGGGGAATAGACCGGGAAAATTACTGGCAAGGTTAGTCAGGAAAAATATTATAGTTCCTTATATGCAGTTAAGCCCAAATAATAAAGACCTGGAGGGAGATAGAAATATAAAAATTCTGATATATTTAAAAGAGGCAGGACTACCTAAATTAGACAAAGAAAGATTGGCTTTGTTAGAATGACCGATAACACAGAAGGAAATACAAGTTGCATGAAGGAGTAAAGCAGCAGGAAAGAGCCTGGGACTGAAGAACTATTAGTACCAAAAATGGGTATTTATATGAATGCATTGGGAGAAGGAGTGCAAATGAGGAGAGAGTCTTTAATGGCACATACTTCAATATTGCCTAAAGAAGGCAAAGATTTGTCTCAATGTGCCAGCTACAGACCAATCTCATTAAGCAGATACGAAACTATATGGAAAAATTATTGCTAGTAGGTTGAAGGATCTAATGCCGGAGTTGATACATTTAGATCAGGTTGGGTTTACACTGGGAAGAGAAAGTAGAGAAAACGGTTTGAGATCTTTACTACTACTACAAAAAAAAGCAAGAAAGAGAAATCCCCAGTTTTGTGCCGGTCGATAGATGCTGAAAAAGCTTTCGACAGGGTAGAATGGGGATTTATGAGGAGCACTTTAGAGGTCATAGGATTAGGGCCAAAAAATGCTTCAGTGGATAAAATCTTTATATTGTCATCCGTCAGCAGCAGTAAAGATTAATGGTACATTGTCAGAATCTTTTGAAATATACAATAGAATGAGGCAGGGATGTCCACTCTCATCCCTCTTGTTTGTGTTAACTTTGGAACATCTTCTAGCAATGATATGGAAAAGTGTAGATATAAAAGGGATTCGGATAGGAGAAGTAGAACATAAAGTGGCGGCGTATTGGATAACATGTTATTTTATGTGGTAAATCCTAGAATAACCTTGCCAAACTTAATGCAAACTTTCAAATATTATAGAGAACTATCAAAATTAATCTTGCAAAATCTGAGATTTTAGATATTAATATGTTGAAAGTAGAAGGACAAGTATTACAAGAAAAATTTCCTTTTAAATGGCAGAATAAAGAATTAAAGTATTTAGGAGTAACGTTAACCTGGTCAATTAAGAGCATATATCAAGCGAACTACATACCACTATTTAATAAAATAAAAGAGGAGTTGAAGAAAATATCAAAAAGTTTTTTGTCCTGGATAGGTCGAATTAATATAGTTAAAATGGTGATACACCCTAAAATCTTGTATAAATTTAAAATGCTTCCAATTCATTTGTCGCAAGTATATTTCAGGGTATTAAAAGGAATGATAATGAGATATATATGGACAAATAAAAAACCAAGGGTGAGGTATGAGGTCCTATATAAGGATAGAATAAATGAGGGACTAATTATTAAGATTAAAAGATACTACTGTGCAGTAATTTTGTCATGAATATTCGAATGGGTGTACAATCCACAAGGGAAAAGTTGGGTAGGGATTGAATTAACACTGAGTGAAGCACAATTAGATAAAGTCATTTGGGTTCCACAACAGTATCGAATGCTTTCTGAAAATACGAGCACTTTAACTATGAATGTATTAAGGATATGGGATGTAATACACAAACAAAACGGATGGGAGTATAATTCACCATTAATACCACTGGCGGGAATTAGTTATTTCCCACCATTGATGAGCACTATTGAAGGAACATGGATTATAGATAGGGATACACGGTTAAAGGATATTATGAAGGAAGGGGAGTTAAACACTTTACAGGAGTTGAAACAGAAAAAGGAAATGTTTCGGAGGATGGATGAATGGCGGTACTATCAACTGAGACATTTTACTTTTATCACTCCCACAGCCATTGAGAAAGGTTAAAAATTTGCATCCACTAGAGCAATTACTGAATTTAAAGGGAGCACAAAAAACATTGCACTTCGCACATTTATAGAACATTTACTACAATGGCTGAACCGTTTGTACCACTGTTTATGAGTAGATGGGAAAAAGTTGAAAACACACTAAATACACCCAGTAGAGCTCATAAGTTACATTCAGAGAATTCACCGTTTTGCTGGAGGGGATGCAGGAAGGAGAGCACAATGGTACATATATGGTGGGAGTGTCCTAAAATACAGGAATTTTGGCAGGATGTAGTTAAACAAATAGGAGAAATTATAGAAGAGGAAATATATAAAGAACCATGGGTGTGATTATTCCATATAACAGTAAAACAATATAATAATACAATGATATCTCATTTAATAAATGCGGCAAATGGGTTGATTCCTAAGTTATGGAGGGCCCAGGAGACCCCTAAGTTAAAAGACTGGATAAAGAGAGTAGAGTTTATACAAAGAAAGGAAGAATTATATTATAGTGGTGAAGACAAAATGGGTAAATTCATAAAATCTGGAACAGATGGAGCGAATTTAAATTTACACAGAAGTTCACTGTGTTGATGGTGTAGAAGAATAAAGAGAAAAAAGGAAAGAACAGAGGGAAAGAGACAGTGAAAAAAGGTCAGAGGAGAAAGGAAGGTGTTAAGACGGGACACTAGAGGAATAATTAGAAACAGAAAAAGGGATGTCTGCGGGGATGGGGTATGGTAAGGGATTTGGAAAATGTGTAATAAATTGTAGATGATTATGTATAAAAATGTATTTGGTATTTGTAAGATGTAATTAATAAAAAAAAAAAATAATAAAAAAAAAAAAATACCATATCCTGGAGTAAGAGTACCATAGAATATATTTGGAGTTGTTATTAACCATTTGAGCTTTGCATGCCAATCATCTTGCATGTAAGAGGAGGATGAGAGGAGTTATTGCAGAAGCTGGTTTGATGTATCATTTGGGGCCATAATCCATTGTGTATAGAGCCCAGGAAGGGGCACAAGCATGTTTGACCTTCATTTTCAGATTGGGGTCAATATCCAGAGGAGAGATGATATGGTTAATGGGAAGTGATATACATGCTGCATATGGGTGATTTGACATGTGAAGACAATTAGACCATGCTGGTGGTTTGGAAACACTACCACTTTTAAGGACTTTGTTTATATCACGTATGGACTGTTTTTCTCTCTTTTTTTATCTGAATGTTTTTTGTATAAGTTGTGCTACATCATTATATATACAGAATAAATATAAAATATACTTTCTTTTTTTGTATTAAGAAAGCCTTAATTGGTTCCCATTGGGACTGCGCATACAAGATACAGGAAAGCCATTATAAGAGTCACAAGCAGAGCAGGCAAATGGTATTGGTCAAAATAAGAGAAGAAAGCCAAGAAATATAACAGACAACAGAAACACTGCAAGGCTGAAACCTACACTGATAAGGGATGTGAGAATGAGACAAACAGCAAGAGAATTCACTAAACAGAAAAGATATCTGCTGTAGAAGAATGTGAAAAATTACTAAAAAAAAGTTACTAAATGTCCATTTGAGTTACTCTCTGAGAAGCATGTCACACAGTATTAGTTGTCGTATTCAAGTAAAATGACCATCTTTGTTGTCACATAAATTAATGGTACATTTATTACTTACTCTGGTTTACTTTGACAGATGAAACTTGCTGACTTTCCTGAGGTGAAATATAAGAAAAGGGAGCAAAAAATTAGGTTAAAAAATGTGTATATCATTTAGTTTTCAAGGACACTACTGGGATAATACTGATCTTTTAAGCAGTCCAGCTGAAATATCACAGACAAAATCAAGACAAGAACAAAATGTTTGCCTGTCATATGCAACATGCCATTTAAACTATTGGGTACAGCCCTGAGCAGCTTCTTGCTGTGTTTTTGTGGGTCGTTAAACTGCAGCTCAACTGCTTGCTTTTACTGCCCCAACCCCAATCACCCCTAGGGACAGCAGAAAGATCGAAACACGCAGCTCCATATCTCCATTCTCTCTGCTCAGCCTGTCAGAGACCTGCCACAGACATGGCAGAGCAGAGAACTGATCACTCCTAATTAATATAGGGGCTTGCAATCCTTTTGTCAATTAGGAGAAGCATCTACTCCATTTTTTATATTTTGAAGAGAGATGCAAGCTTGTACACAAAATTGGACAGATAGGTAACTGATTAATAAAATAATAATTTTCAAATAACCAAGAACAAACCTTGTTGGTAAAAGCAAATTTTGAAGGCTCAGCGGTGCTTGGTGTATGAATAGCTGTTAATGGTGGAGGCCATGAATGTGTCATTTCCTGGGAAACAGAACATATCATTAAAGTGTAAAATCTTGGTAAAGATGATCAAACTCCAATTTTGTTGAAAAAAAAAAAAAAACAACTTCCAGGTCAACTATATACACTGCAATTTGACAAATTTTTGCAGATAATTACCTATTTCTGCTTTGTATATACTAACGCAGTTTCATTGTGTTTGCTGAAATATTGAAATGCCACATAAAATCTGCCTTCACAATAATCACAAGTTCAATCCTAACGTTGTAATAAACAATTAACTGAGATCGAGTTAGATCTTTAAATCTGCCGCAGATAACACACCAAGTGCAGTAAGCTGGGAAAGCCACCACACTTCATGCAAACTGCTGCCAGTAATTTTACCATACACTAAACATTTCTGGGAGAGTCAGTAGACCAATTGCAAGAGTGAGGAGAAGGATTCTATAAAAATGAATATTGAAAATGGAAGAGAGAAATTTGAGAGCTAAAATTGTTTTATTTTGTTAACCTTATTTGTAGTGTATAGCAACTATATGTTAAAGTTTAGGAAAACAAGTTGTTTTCCTAAACAACATTTTGAAAAAATGTTCACTATTGTCATACTTTTCATAAATGATACAATCAGTTTGGGTAATATAAAGACACTGGAAAAGTACTGAACACTCAAATGATAGCCTACTTACATAAACTGTCTAGGCTACTCAAACTAGAAGAATAGTACTGATTAGAGTTTAAACTTTTACTGACTGCATAAGACATCATTACTTCATTAGAGGTCTATATAAGAATTGCAGAACTCACTAAGAAATGTTTAGACTGGATATGCCAGATGGATCAATAATCAGCCTTTACACGATTTTACAACTATGTATCCTCTAAGATGACCCCTACCATTTCCATATACTTTATAACTAGGCTTTCCATGCCTAATTATGTTTCTGACGTGATGAAGATGGAGCTAAAGACCTGCTCTATGAGGGAAGTCCCATTAAAACTTTAGGAAGCCTGGTATTGAATTTTCTACCATCCATGGAAAACTCAGAAATCTCACAACAGCATGCATGTTGGGTGTCTGAAAAACAGACAGTTTCTAGTAGGTTTCTATTTTAACAAGAATTATAATTTTTTTTTTGATATTTTCTTTTTACTTTATTTTCAGGATTAACAATATGTATTTAAAAATAGAGCAATGAGAAAAGTCAGGTAAATGTAAAATTCGTATTACAATTATTTTTAATATATTGTTTTGCAGACAGCAGGTAGCAAGCTCCATGCAAGGGACTCTTTCAAGAGTCTTAGATTAATAAAGCTAGATCAAGTGTCCAGCTGAGGATTACAAAACATTTTTTGTTGGTAGTGCATGGACTAACAAAAATGTTATCACATTTTCATACATTATACATACAGTCATGGCCGAAATTGTTGGCACCCTTGATATTTTTCCTGAAAATCAAGTATTTCACACAAAAAAGGTATTGCATTAACACATGTTTTGCTATACACATGTTTATTCCCTTTGTATGTATTGGAACAAATATAAAACAGAGGCAGAAAAGCAAATATGACATAATGTCACACAAAACCCCAAAAATGGGCTGGACAAAAGTATTGGCACCCTTAACTTAATATTTGATTGCACACCCTTTGGAAAACATAACTGAAATCAGTCGCTTCCTATAACCATCAATAAGCTTCTGACACCTTCACCCGGAATTTTGGACCACTCTTCCTTTGCAAACAGCTCCAGGTCTCTCTTATTGGAAGGAATTTCCCAACAGCAATTTTAAGATCTCTCCACTGTTCAATGGGAAGATCTGGGCTCATTGCTGGCCACTTCAGAACTCTCCAGCGCTTCTTTGCCATCCATTTCTGAGTGCTTTTTGACTATGTTTGGGGTCATTGTCCTGCTGGAAGAAGGATCTTGACGCAAACCCAGCTTTCTGACAGGGCCCTACAGTGCGACCCAAAATCCTTTGTAATGGATGTTGCACACAGTCTGGCACCCAAAGAGGCAGCAAAACAACCCCAAAACATCATTGAACCTTATTTTTACCGTAGGTAGGTTCTTTGTAGGCCTCATTCCGTTTTCGGTAAAACAGTAGAATGATGTGCTTTATTTACCGAAAAGCTCTATCTTGGTCTCATCTGTCCACAAGAACGTTTTCCCAGAAGGCTTTTGGCTTACTCAAGTACATTTTTGGCAAACTGTAGTCTTGCTTTTTTATGTCTCTGTGTCAGCAGTGGGGTCCTCCTGGGTCTCCTGCCATAGCGTTTCATTTCATTTAAATGTCGACGGATAGTTCGCGCTGACACTGATGCTCCCTGAAGGACAGCTTGAATGTCTTTGGAACATGTTTGGGGCTGCTTATCCACCATCCGGACTATTCTGCGTTGCAATCTTTCATCAATTTTCCTCATCCGTCCACGACCAGGGAGATTAGCTACAGTGCCATGTTTGCGCACTGTGGACAAAGGCAAATCTAGTTCTCTGGAGATGGACTTGTAACCTTGAGATTGTTGATATTTTGCCACAATTTTGGTTCTCAAGTGTCCTCAACAGTTCTCGTCTCCTCTTTCTGTTGTCCATGCTTAGTGTGGCACAGACAGACAGGTGCAAAGGTTAAGTGAACGTCTCTCCTTTTTAATCTGCTTTCAGGTGTGATTTCTATATTGCCCACACCTGTTACTTGCCCCAGGTGATTTACAGGAGCATCACATGCTTGTAACATTCTTATTTATCCGCAAAAGGGTGTCCAGCCCATTTTTGGATTTGTGTGACAAAATTTGCTTTCTTTTCCCTTTTTTTGTTTTGTCCCATACACACAAAGGGAATAAACATGTTATAGCAAAACATGTTTAATGCAATACATTTCGTGATACATATTTCTGTCAAGGGTGCCAACAATTCGGCCATGACTATACTGTATTCAGCTATAGAATACTACAGTTTTTTTTTTTTTTTTTTATTAAGGCGCACATACCTTCAAAATCTCTTCAACACAATGGGCTTCATTGGTGAAGGTCTGAAACAAAAGAAATTAACATTAAGCAAATACCCAGAGTTAAAGTACAACTATAATGTTAAACAAACACGAGGAAACAAAAAAGCAAATTTATTCTCTGAGTAAACTGGTTTTACTGGTGTATTTACAGGTTGGCTATAAATTGTGCATAATATGTAGATACCAAAGGAAAACTATAAATTCTAGGAGGCTCCTACTGTGCCTACCCTTGTTCCAAGATCAGCTATAAACAAAATCCAGAGTCTTACTTATCCAAGTCAGAATAATGCTCTCTATAACCTTTGTTTGCCAATCAGTCTTAAAAATGAACCACCCATTCCCTAAGCAAAGGAAGCTCCTTCAGCTGTTGCAAACACACTTCCCCTTTCCTCAACACATGAAAAACTACTCAGAGCTCTTACCGATATGCAACTTTCGACATTTTATCAAAAGTCAACAGCTAGGTCCTCCTCTCCATCTCTAATCACTTTACCTGGCCACTTATGTATGCAGAGCGCAGTAATGCATGATTGTTACATCAAGGTCTGTGTTGTCAGTTGTGTGGGTTTTATGTGACTTCACCTGCTCTGTGCTGTGCAAGAGCCAACATGGCTGTGGGAGTACTATACTCTTCTAAAAATGTGAAAGCAATTTATTATTTTACTACACTGCTAAATTTAAATTTTCATCAATTAAAAAAAAACATAATACTGCTCTTAAATGCATTGAAGTCAAATATAATGCCTACACATCTCTTCTTTACAGCATAAATCTAGATTGATTTTATATCCTCTAAAGACACATGGATAGTGTGCCTTCCAAAGCATTACATGTATAGTTAACAAGGACAATTTAAAGAATATGTTAACCCAACATTTCATATTCCTGATATGTGCCTGCTGCACCATGTACTACTGCATCCGTTTCCTGGGACACAGTAAGAGGAACTGATGTTGTTCCCCCCCCACTGTTTATTAGAGACTGGAAGCGACAAGGATTTCATCACTTCCATTTTCAGCCTCATGTAAACAAGCTGCTATTTGCTTGGGAAAACATCTGATCAAACCAATCTCAGTTTGAACAGATCCTTTGGAGGCCAGAGGGGAGATCTATGATCTCTCCAAAAAGAGGACCAGTCATGCCCCATGCTATCACAAGGAATGTCAGTCATCAGTTTTGATAGCAATAAAAGTTGATCCAGAAAAAAAAAAAAAAAAAAAGGTACAATGTTAAAAAAAAAAGTAAAAATAAAAAATAAAGAAATAAATACAAATTTAAAGCACTCTCATGGTTAAGCGCAAATGTAGGCCCCACACGCATATGTCGCTGCAAACGTCAGAGCAAGAGCAATAATTCTAGCACCAGACCACCTGATAAGCTCTAAACTGGTAACCTGTAAAGGCTTTTAAAGCGTCACCTAGGGAGTTCTTTAGGTACCGTAGTTTGAGGCCATTCCATGCGAGTACACAATTTTAAAGTGTGACATGTTAAATGTCTACTCCGAGTAACATCATCTTTTATTATTTTACGAGCATTAAAATTCATTAAAGTGTATTTTTTTCTCTAAAAAAATGTGAAAAATATCACTAATATCATATGACAACAAATATGCAACACCTACCATTATATTCTTTAGGGCCTCTGCTTAAAAAGTATATGTTTGGGGGTTGTAAGTAATTAGCTAGCAAAAAAAAAAAAATAATGCTGATTTTCACATGTAGGAGAGGAATGTCAGTATTGCCCCAGACTGGTACTCACTAAGCAAACTAATTTTTTTTTGTGAATCCAGTGCAGTTTCTTACCTGGAGCTCTAACTAGTAACATCACTTCCTGATGCTGATTTTAAACTATAAGCCATTTTCCCCCAATTAGCAGGAGAGTTGTCAGCCTACTGTATGTGCTCCTTCAATTAGCCACTGGGCTGCCTGTCAAGTTCATCAGATTGGCAATTTAAAGAGCATATACAGAAGGCTGACAATGATGCAACTGAGCAAAAATTAGAACTTGGGTTTACAT